CTAATCGAAATCTACTTTATTTCAGTTTAAAGCCACTACCCCTCGTACTGTCACTATGTGCCCTTGTAAAAAGTCCCTCTCCATTTTCCTGGTAGGTTCTTTTCAGGTACTGAAAAGCTGTAATAAGGTCACCACTAATAAGCTGTAACAAGGTCTTCACTAAGAGAAGCCTTCTCCAGAGCATCCACTGCTCTTTCTTTATCCACCAAGCCAGTCACATCATCATAGAATATTATTGGGTGGATTAAGTATAACTTCACCTCTGTAAAGCCATGCTGAGCAAAAGTTTTTACTTTTGTTTGTTTTTAGTTTTTACTAAGACTGGAGAGGAGAGGCTAGACATTTTTCAGCATTAGACATGTCATTGCAGAAAAAGTCCTTGTATTTTCTGCCTTTATTTGTGACAGTCTCTAATCTAGCTATTTAGAACACCTCTGTCACATGCAATTTAATGTACACCTCCCCACTGATTCATGATTACCTAAATCCCACTGAAATAAATTTTAGCACTCTGTTCTCATTCTGCCAGGCTGTCATTTAAAGAACAACATATTCTGTCTCAATAGTGACATGGCTGAGAAGATAGCTGTCATTGGGAAAACTGCAAACATCTATCCACTGTCTTGGGAGGACTCACCTTGTACAAACATGAAGTGGGCAGTCTTAAGTTTTGCGATGTATACACATTTGATGGACAAAAGCTGTATCAGGTCTTCTGTCGATATAAATCAGCCCCTATAAATGGCTATAACACATATAACTATGCTTGATTTTAATCAGTGAAACATTTTACCCAATGTAATTCTGAATACATTAGCTATACTACATATAAAGCTAAACATAAACTTAAGATCTTGTATCTGGGGAAAAAGTCAACAAAGGAGTTATTACAAATTACAGGAACATATGAGAATGACTTTCAAGCAATCCACAATCAAAAAAGTTCATATAAAGAATAATATAAAAGTAATCCATATCGGAGTTCACATTCCTGAAAAGCTTTTAATCATGAAGAACAGAGTATGTTATATAGAAATTACACCACACAACATACTTACAGTGAACTGTGCCTCCTCAAACATGGAATTTGAGAAGCACATAGCAGCACTCAGGAGCACTACTGACCTGGAAGTCCTGTCTTCCACCACAGAGATACTTGACAACTGCCTATGATAAAGATCAAAGTTTTAGAGTTTTTAGGATCAAAGTTTGGCTTATGGGCTTACTACCATATCTCACAGAATGAGAACATAATGTTCTGAAGCACAAATAGCACTTCTTTGAGCACTCTAGGATTTTGAGGAGAGCACTCTGAATCTACCCAACAATACAAGAGACTCATAGTTACAAGCATGGCTTCTTCTGCAAAGGACCATATTGGCATGGTGTCCCAAGACCTATCATGTTATCACCTCCCCCCTGCTGATGCCACTATTCTTGGCAGGTGAGCAAACAGAGGAGTATGGTCCTTCCTTAGGAAGGAAGACATGGAAGTGGACTTCAACTGGAACAAACAGTATCATTGAGGTAAGGAATACCTCTGCACCTGAGGAACAAGGTGGAGATGTGAGATGTGGACCAAGCATACGCAGAGGCAGAGTGCATTAGGAGCTATGAAAAGACTGGAAACTCACTAACCTAACCTAGCTTCCTTCACTGAGAGTGCAAGAGTAAACTAACTCACAGCAAAAGCTGGCAACACATGATGAACTATATACAGCTGAGGGTTAAGCTCCTAAACGAAATGCTTTCTCTTGAGTGGGGTTCACGTCTTCTTTCCAGATCCAGGATTGCCAAGTAATAAAGCTATCACCACTACAAGTAGGACCTTTTGCACCTTGTGAGTTCTCCCACTCCCTAACAGTCATGAGATCATCCAGAAGCGTGAATTCCTGTCCACATTACCCAGCAGGACCTCCAGTATGGGGCTACCATGATGGCAGGGTCATCCCCAGCCCTAGCCACACTAGGGCACAACTTTGCACTTGATTCACCAGTTGCATGGACAACTCTTTCCATGGGAGACTGGTTATCTGATGTCACACAGTGACAATTATTTTCAAGCCTAATATCCACAGTTTCAATTACTTGGTGAAGTAATTGCATGTAACCCCAATGTTATATATGAATCATAAAAGAAAAGAGGGGGTGAAGAAACAGAGGGAAGATGATCTGTTTTCTCAAGAAGGCAAACCTAGATGTCAATTCAGCTTGACGACTCCCAGAGGATCTCCACCTCCCTGTCACAGCCCATGTCTGGCAGATGTCGGCAGCGCCAGTTCCCACGGGACGGCAGCCACACGCCACTGAGGCGCGGCACCCGTGCGCATCCCGGCAGCGCAACGCGCAGGCCGAGCCCCACCAGGCGGGGACCCCCGGGCCGGCCGCGGGGAGAGGGCGGTGGCGGTACCGCCTGCCCTCGCCCTGCAGCCCTCGCCCTGCAGCCTCCGGGGCGAGGGCGGGCTCATCCCGCTCCGCGCGTACCGGACAGGGCTTTGCGCCCCGGCCGCCGACTCGCCCCTTGCCTGGGGAGAACGCTGCGGCCCGCGGGGCTCCTGGGCGAGAGACGAAAAGCGGTGGAGCGTGATGGGGACGCGCGTGTCCACCGTGGGTTACCAAAGAGCCGTACACGGGTGTCCCGCAAGGAGAGCCAACAACCGCTCGAGGGAAACTAAAAAATACTCAAACCTGCCTTCTCCTGGCTTCCCTACAAGGGTGACAGTCCGACCGCGGCAGTGTCGGGTGATCTCCCTCTGGCTTCAGCCCTGCCAAAGCCCTCCGAGGACGAGGCTGCGGTACACGCGGGGATGCCACGGCCGCCCCGCGCCCCCCGCCGCTGACCCGGGCAGCCCGGCCCGCGGGGGAACCAACGAGGGAACAGCCAGAGAGCAAATAAACAACTTCCCTGGCGTAAGAAGTTGCCTCGCAGGTGCCTGCAGCTGGCGGTTAACACAGACAGTAAGAGGATCAACTCCATCTCCGCCAGTGCAGCAAAAAGAGGAGGAAAAAAATAAAAGCCCCCTCATTTGCTATTCAGAATTTAGTTAATTTGGATGATAACGGTTAGTGTTTAATCCCATTGTACGAGAATGAATATACCGAAACCTACAAGGCTCCTGGAAGAATAATACGGCCGGCGGCACGGCACGCAGGGGTGCCCAGGCGGGCAGCCGGCCTTGCCCACTCCGTCCTGCCGACCGGGGCAGACGCGCCCCGGGGCCACCACGGCCTCCTCCCGCGGAGTCGTTCGGCGCTCCCGACCGGCCCGGAGAGGTGGGAACCAGCCCGGGGCAGTGGGGTGAGGGCCGGCACCTCGCCTACCCTCCGGCCGCCTCTGGGGAAACGAACGGGCGAGAGCGGCGGTGCCACCCGCCGTGCTCACCCGGGGACATATGGTGGGGATGGTTTCACCCTTTTTAAACCGCAAAGGGAAAAGGGTGGGAAAACGTGGAATACGGGAGAGGACGTGGGAGTTTCCGAGAGAACAACTGCCCGAGCTCACATGGCGGGGATATCGCCGTTTACCGCAGTGGTGGTAAAATCGGTGGCGTCGCCCGGGAGGGCAGAGCCAGGCGCCGGGCTGCCCCGCCGCCGGCCCGGTCGCTCCCGGCTTTTCCCTCCCCCTCGGGGGTGGTGGAGCCCCGCGGCAGAGCCGGGGCCGGGGGCGGTGGCGGAGCCGCGGGGGGAGGACGGGAGGGCGGCCCCGCGGTCCGTGCCGGGTCCGGAGGCGCACCGCCGGCCGTGGAGAGGCCCGGGGGGGCCCGCGCCCGATGTCCTGCTGTCACCTCCCAC